ATAAACTGGAAGCTTATAAACATTTAAAAATTTGTTTTCCAACAGTTCTAAAAACGGGAAGGTTAAACTAACCCTAACCCTAATGCCTGAGGTACAGACTTCTAGCTGAATTGTCACACACAGAAAAGCTAGGGCACTCTCTTGGGTCTCTTTTATGATGCACCGATACCATTTACAAGGATCCACTATCATGGCCTAATCATAATCACTCTCTAATGCCATCTCATAATTCTGTCACCGTAGGGCTTCAGCGTGTGAATTGGGACCGTGTGTAAAGTTCATTAGAGTGCTACAGAAAAAAAGAATGTTAAGACATCATGACTCAACTGGCAGAGTTTGACCCAAGGAGGACCAACATTATCATAGTACAGACAAGGTATTAGTGTTCAGGAGAAGTCTAACAGAGAATTGAACAATATTGTGCAGTAACCCCCCAAAAAAATCCATCCCCTATGTATTTAACTAATCAGCATGTCCTTGAACAAAAACACGCTTCAGTGTTTCTGTGTGCAGTGAGTTCTGCACTCCAGTCCCTTTCCTTTATTCCGGAACTGAGCCTTGGCGTGTGTCACCAAATGGCAGCCCTGCTTTTAATTATGCTAAGTACACCTGAGTCATTCTTTTCTAAGATGATCTTGAATCTAAAATGTCAGTGGCTGGCAGTAGAACAAATTAAATGACCATCGTCACATCCAAAACGTTAGAAGTTTCGGCAAAATGATCAACCTACTTTTTGTAATAAACAGCTGTGTTACAGGTGGGAGCTGACTTGAGACTTGCAGTGGGTGCCGCTTGGATCCTATGTCAAACAAGCAAAGCTCCTACAGAAATCGCATTGTTGAGGTAATCGGTAATCGTGGAAAGGGTGACTGTGGACTCGGTGTTAGATGGTAACCGATAAATTGTAATTTGTATCAGAAATGTAAGTATTTTATTAAGGATACGAATTAAGAATTAGTTTAAATAGTCTTAGGTTTTCTCTTAAAGAATGTCGCGAAGACAAGAGAAAAAAAAAAAAAAAAAAACAGGGAAACCTTGCAACCTCTTAACTTCTCTGACATGTGCTCCTTACCTGCCCCTTCTTCCCGATCAGTTCAAATAGACCACAAAAATGTTACGTTTCTGAGGGAAACAATAAAATACTGTTTATTCCTCATTTCACATATAGTGATAATACAAAGAGTTCAAGCCAGAGACACAGATGATGACTACACATGTTTCCTGGACTCACGGAGCAAGTGACAGGACTCCTAAGACATACAAAAGCTCAAGCAAGACAGAGTATCGGCATGGAGAGAGGAGGTAAGCATAATGCCCCATCCCTAGAGGAGGAGCTTTTGACAATTGGCAGCTTCTTGGAAAGGGAGCATCATTTTCCTTTAGGTATGTGGCTCCTGGTAGGTCAACCAAGACCCAGAGGATGTTCCCACACCCAGGAGTATATGGGCAGCACAGTTTAACTCAATGAGTTAAAACAAAAAAGGGGCACAAAGTTGGGTGCGTAGGAAAAGGGTATGTCTTAGAGTAGTTGTGTAGGGGTGAATATAAAAAAAATACATGGTGTTAAATTCTCATGAAGCTAATAATGAAGAAAAATAATGCTAACATATTGCTAAACAACACAGAGTGTATTAATAGCGAAGAACACCAAATTACTCTCCGCGGACTGGCGTTCTTCTCAAATAAGGCACACTGTACATTTCTACCAAAAGATACCCTTTTATTGCCTATTAATCTATGTAGATATAAACAGGCCAAAAACAAACAAAACTACTAACCAATAAGCTATTTTTTCATGTGCAATTTTGTAAATACAAAATACCCTAAATTTCTATACACTTATATTAAAAAAAAAAATCGGTGACCCTTTCCTTTCAATTCCCCTTTGTAAGTCAGATCCAAACAATTCAAGTGTAGCAATGCTGTTTTCATATCTTAGTAACTCCTAATAATTACTGTAGGATTCTTTCCCAGACATTGGATTTATTAATACCAAAATCATGTGACTGTGTTAGGTGGCATCAGCACCCAAAGCTTTTACTCTCCAATCTGGAAGGAAAGGGAACCCTCCAGTCTCCTCTCAGAGACAAGTGCAGTAGGATGAGCTAGAGAAATAAAAAGGCCCTGAACACAACTTTGACTTCCACAACTTCTGCTTGTTGCCGTTGCTGTCCGACTAGTGCACAAGCCCTATCCACTTCTGTCCTTTGAGGGATGGACAAGATATTAAATAAAAAAAAGCAATATCAAATGGTCTGGTGCATGCTTTCAACATGGACTCAGCAAAAGTGGCTGTAAGCACTGATACAGTTTTTTAATCATCTCAACAATGGGTGTTTATTATCATCGTTGTTGTTAAGCATTTGTTGATCTATCGTGTGAACCATAAATCCAAGTGTTATTATGAAATGAATAAAGGTACGTGTCACTCAGCCCTTGCTATTAAAATGTCTGAGTATGTTAGAAGCCACAGAACCTACAGTTTATCTATAGTGTATCTATAGTGATGCAGGACACTTATATATGGTAACCTGTCAGTTAACCAAAGCGCCTGCTCTTTAACCCATTAACCGTCAAAAGCATTTGCTTCGGGAAAAGACAGCTAGACCACACTCTGTTCTTTGTAATGTGCGGTTGGTTGGTTGTGATTTTTCTTTCTATCATTTGCAAGCAGTTGTGCCCCAACTGATTCAAAAGATGTCCATCACCTTCCAAAGTTAGTATCATTTTATTGCAGGAGGGGGCTCTACGTTTTCATTCAGTTCAAGCTTTTTAAAGAATAAGGAGAAGCTTAACTGAGTTCATAGTATAAAAAGCCTAAAACTTTATTAATTGGGCAGCTGTGGAGTCGATGAACCAGCTGAAGAAGGGAGTGAATGGACAAGTACTGAACACCAAATAATTTCCCTGTCCCGATTTTGCCATAATTTCCCAGAGCAAGAAACATGGTAGCACATTGCTACATCAAAAGAAAATAAAAGGCGTTTTTTAAATATAGACCCAGATGTTTTAATTCATTTCAATCTCTTCAACCAGTTGATCCTGGTTCGCTGGCTTTCTGTTTTGAAGTAACTTATATTAACTTGTCCCTTTTCTGATTGGCATTATTGAAAAAAAAAATCATACAGAGCTTCAGTGAGGTGTCTAGCACCCAAAAAAGCCTATGTATATATATCTATATATATAGCCACTTATTTGCTATTTGCACTGGCTTCCTTCTACATTTATTTCCATCGGGGTAGGCATGCTCACCAGAGGCTGAAAAATCAGAACAGTAGAAAGGTGTTTTGTTTTGTGCTCACAAGTGCAATAGATCTTGTTGAACTGCCAATTGTAGCTGTTAAAGACATTATGTCATGACTGAAGGCCCTGTCTTCCAAGGAGGTTGAAGAATGTATAGGGTTGACACACAGCCTGAGAAGAAGGGTGTGTGTGGCCGGGAACAACATTAGTCACACAGGCATACTGAAGATCCCTCATCCTATGGCTGCTAACTACCCCACTGAAAAGGCAGATGCTCTCACATTTATACTGGGAAATGGATTCGGAGAGGGAGAAAATGGAAATTTATTTCCAGACCCTGCCAATTTCCATACTGTACTCTGTCTGCGTCATAGTCATAGGCCAGTTCAATGACAGGAACAATAATTCCCGATCTTCCTGCTCAAGGAATAATTTTATTGATCTCCACTTTATTTTTTATTTTTTTCCAGTGATTCAGCAGGTCAGAAATGCTCCCGTTCCAGGAGCTTCCCATCATTTAGCAAGTCATCCAGAGTGTTAAAATGCCTTTACAAGTTAACAGTAATTTCAGCACCACGGAGAGTACTCTGCTCCCCACCCCACCCCACCCCACACACACAGGCGCCTTTGAACGCCATCCCGTGATTGGTGCTAAAAAGAAATTTTAAAATGAAATTTAATGTCTACCAAAAATTACTAATGGGAGAAGTCTTAATTTTCTATGCCTTTAAAATTAGACGGTGGTTCATACATGGTCATGACTGCAACAATGTTCTCTCTCTTTTTTTTTTTTTTTTTTTTTTTTTTTTTTTTTTTTCCTCTGTGAAATGGAATTAGCTTTTCCTTGCTATTTTTAAATACCTCAGCCACAATTTCTCCATGGTTTTGGGTTGATTCGACGGTAATACAATAGAATTCAGTCACGTGAATTAAAAATTCCATGAGCACAAGCCCCAAAACTATCCTTGCTGCTGTTTCTTCGGAGTTGTGAACATGCTCAATAAATATATGAACTGAGGGAAGAATGGACATTCGCTAAAAGCATTTTTAAGTAATGAATGAATGCCTTGTTTATAACTTGTTTCAAAGGCCCTTGCATGCCATGCTGCTTAGTCTAAGCTGTGAATGCAGGGAAACCATGCCTAGTCCAGGTTCTCATACTGTCTTGCATGGTGTCCTTGGATGGAACACTTCTCTGTGCCCAGTTACTCGAGGGTTTTCTCTGTGCTAAAAAGAGAAACGGCCAGGCCTCCTTATCCTATAAGACTCTCCTGAGTTCATGGACTCCGGGGTCTAACTACACTAGGAGAAAAGAACAGTAGCCCTGGTCATTTCTCAGCTGCCACCAAAGTCAGACGCGGGCTGGTTTGGGAAACCCATCATCTATTTGAGAGGCCAGCATCCACCAAGGACAGGGCCAAAGGTGAAGGAGAAAACAAGATAACAACCCCGGCTTGAGACAGATGTTTCCCGCACTCGGCACACTGTGATGACTTCTGGGGCCCCTGAATCATTGCCTCCTCTTTGTCAGTCTGGGCAGTGACACATGTTTGAGCAAAGTATAGCGTCCCGGGTGCAGGTAGGCACAGCCCAGTGCTCAGCTCCTGGGAGGTTTCTAGGCTAAGGCGGCCGCTCCACTTGGACTGTACTATTGGGTTCGAAAACGGGGGGAGCTCGCAGGCAAGGGCTAATTTCCATTTCAAACTGCATTCTGGTACTTTGTACCCCTGCACCATTGGCCGATCAATATTTAATGCTTGGAGATTCTGACTCTGCGGGAGTCGTGTCAGGGGACCCTGGGAGCCAATCTGCTTGAGCTTCTGCGTGATAATTATTCATGGGCTCCTGCCTCTCGCTCTTTCTCTAGCACGGTCCCACTCCGCAGACTCAGTGCCTTACTCAGACCAGACTCCTCTCTCGCTCTCTCCGCCGCTACAGCCGGACCCTTCGCCTTCGCCTTCGCCACCGCTCCGCGCGTGCACATCCCTACAATGGCTAAAACAGCAATGGGTAAGAATCGCGCTTCTTTCTACCCAGGTTCAATCCGGAGCCCTTCTCTCGCGGGGCACTGAAGACATTAATAGGTATTTTATAAAGGAAAAAGACATTTGTGATCCACGGGAGCTGGGAAGGTCGGAGGCAGCTCTGGGAGGAGGTGAGGGGGCAAGGAAGAGCAAATGATTTATTTTTAAAAGACAGAAGCAGAGAAGGTGCCCTCCGATGGGTAAGATATTCCATTCTACTTCCATATTTAAAATTAAAACGCCATGGGAGGGGAGGGGGCTACCTTAACTCTGCCTTCAGTGAGATGAAGGGACATTTCAGAAAGTGGCGTGCAAGGTCTTATATTCGTTCTGTAGTTTGAATAGAACGTAAAGGGGTGAGGTTGGAAGAAAAGAGGAAATGCGAAGTCAAAGCCGTCCGGTCCCGGCGGTTTGAGAGATGGGTGGGAACGGGGAGGGGGAGGGGAGTGGACACATTTTAATGGTATTGTCTCTGTTGGAAAAACCGCTAGTCTTGGGGCGCGGTGCGGGGAGGTAAGGCGGCTGGAGGGGTGGGGTGGGACCCTAAGTCCTTTGTTTTAGGAGGAGGGAGGGGACGGAGGAGAAGGGCGTGGAGGGCGCGGGTGGGCAGCTGCAGGGGCGGAGAAGCGCGCACGGCGGGGAGGGGCAGAGGGACTGGGCTCCCCAGGCGCTGGGGTGGGGTTTCTTTGTGTGTGGAGCTACGGTCCCCGGGGAGGGGTGGGGTGGGGGCACCTGCAGCGCTGGGCACACTGTGCGGACTGCCCCGCCCTGTGCGGAGTCAAAGGGTCCCCACCCCGACCGAGCTCCGCGCCTCAGTGGGAAGGGGGCCGGGTGGGGAGCGCAGCGAGTCCCTGCGGGGACAGAGGGGCCCCGCCACGCCCCACGCCCCACGCCCCACGCCCCACGCCCCACGCCCCACGCCCCACGCCCCACGCCCCACGCCCTCACTAGCAGACTAGCAGTCTGCTTATGCCACAGACCTGGCCGCTAACCTGGGCCGCCCCGCCCTGGTCTCATTGTTCTCCCTTAGGGCTAGAGGAGAGGGGTTAACATATCTTTTCAGAACCACATTAAATAGGGTATTTAGACATAATAGCAGAAAGAAAGGTGAAGAAGAAAAAAGGGTTACTCCAAACTCCTTGGATCGTTAAGGGAGGGGGGAAGCTTAGGGAACCTAAAAGGGTGTACAGAAAATAATACAGATAAAGATGTGTGAGCGTGATATAAAGCAAAGGAGGTCAAGGTCTTTAAGATGCGCCACGTGCAATTTCCATTTTGTGGGTCGGACAGGGCCAATCATTAGTAAATCTTTTGGGCTATGTAAAACCGCAGGAGGTTCCAGATGCAGGGCCTTCGTTCTGAATAGGTCCTGTGCTTGGCGTGGCCCAAGGGTGTATCGACTGGGAGGGGCCTGCACCCCAGAGGCGGCTGGAAGCGCCCCCTTCACCAGGCCCGGCTGTGGATGCGGAGCAGGGGAAAGGATGGGGTCTGGCTCCACCCTGCCCCGCCCCACCCTGTCCGTTGAGCCCAGGAGACTCAGGTTCCAGGATGAACTTGGGTGGGGCTGCTAAGCAGTCTGCAGTCCGGGAACCCCTCTTTCTAGCCCCGCTTTCCAGAACAGCCCTGAACCCCTCAGGGTGTGTAGACACCTGGCCTAGCTCTTGGTCATCGCAGCGCCAAGCCCCTCCCAGCTGATGGATGGCTGTGCAGAAAGGCGAGCCCCGCCCGGCCACACAAAGACGCGGCCGCGCCCTGCCAGGCCCTGGACCACAGAGGTGACCCCCTTCTCTGTGGCTTAAAAAGGTGTCCTCTCCCACGCACAGACCGCAGAGCCCAGGGACCTTTTTCCCAGCCCTGTGTTCCAGGAAGGAGACCCCCATTGAGGGTCCTCCAGTGGGGCGTGGCTCGGCCCCACCCCTCACTGCTAGACCCGGAGCAGCTAGCCTGGCTGGCGTGCACGTGGCGATCGCGCGCGTGGACCGTGGCCAGCCCTGCAGCGCTCGCCTTTGGAAACTGGGCGCTCGCCCCCGCAGGAGCATCCCAGGAGAGGGTGCTGCGCAGTGTCCTGAGCTACCCCTGCTTGGCACAATTCGCTGTCAATTCGCATGTCCAGAGGGGTTCTAATGGGGGGTGCAGGTGATCTCCCTGCACTGTGCTCCCACCAAGAGGTTTCAGCTGCAGAAGACTTGCTAGCTACTCGTCATCAACAGAACTGTGATTTCAAGTCATCCTGATTATTATTCCCCTCAGTTTCACTTGTTAAAAAAGGATGCTGGTCCCTTTTGATAGGGATTAATCCCCTTGCTGCTAATCCTTCTTGGTCATCTTCGCCTGCCTCCGCCCCCTCACCACCCACAACCCACAGATGATTTTGTCTCCTGTTATTCATTTACGTTTCTATAAAGCAAATATGTTTGGGCTTCCCATCGCTGTTACGCATGTTCATGAGGCTGGGACCTATGTGCTGGTACTTGCTAAGAACAGCCTGTGCGCCAAAGATCGCTGAAAAATTCTCCGAGGAGAATTGTTTGTGGTTTCTGTGGGTCAAAACCCTCCACAAGAGGGGAGGTCTATAAACATTTAAATATAAATTTTATTGTTGCCCCCCAAATCTGCTCTTCAAAGCGCTTTTTGATACAGTCTCAATTCTCCCCAGAAACAAGGATGGTGAAATGGTAACTGCCACCCAATGCCACTTCCTCCCCGCGTATTACAGGTGCAAAGGTTTTTCTGCCATAATTAGGCTGCACTTGTGAACGTGAAAAGAAACACTACCTCTGCAGTGAGAAAAAAAACTGCCATTTTGTTTTGTTTTGTTTTAATATCCCAACTGCAAAGAGTAATCAATTAACCTGTAAGGCTAGTGCTTTTCTCCTGACCCATTGAGCAATTAGCGTATTCTGCATGTTTGTCTCAAATGGAACAGCAGTATAAATTGATGTGTAAGTAGCTAGAAATGAAAAGCTGAAGATTTTACCAGGATTTCAAGAAAGAAAAAATAAAAACTGAAAGAAATAAACGGAGCATTGCCAATTGATTCCATGTATCTAAGTCATACTAGTTAAGTGGGTGGCAGCAAGCATGGCTATGCCCAGGGAAGCTCATCGTCAGTAGCTGGCTGGCACCATGGTGTGCATCCAGGGATCTGGTGGTGTTTGCCTGTGCATGTCAAAAAAAAAAAAAAAATCTATGAAGGAAAGCCTGTTTTAAAATGATGGTTAAGACTGAATGCTTTATAGTTTAAAAATAATTAAAATCCAGACCTCTGCATCTTCAAAATTCTTAACTGTTCTGCACTGACTTACAGATATATTTTCTATGAGAAGAAGAGGGAGGCATGGTTGTTGTTGTTGTTGTTGTTAGAGCTGTTGCTACTTCCTTAGTCATTTAAATTTTTTTTAGCAGGATTTCAGTTCTTGTGCTTAAAATCATCATAGTTACTTTTGGTTTTAAATTTTAATTGATTGTGGATTAAATAGTGATTTAGAAGAATAGGCATCAGGTCATTTGGCACGGTGTGATTTTCATCAGATTTCTGATTGTCAGTTATGGGGGAATAAAATGCTGCAAGAAGTTCCATTTTGTGTAGACTCAGGGCATGTCTTCCCAGAATGCCACAGAGCTGATTCTTACACTACAATGGTTTTCATTTTGTAATTTAGAATTAAAATAGTTGCTTAGTTCTGTGATTATTTAATGGTATCTATAAAACAAGGTTTTTATATAAAACCCAAGTAACAAAGTATAAAATGGACGGTGAATCCACATTGAATGTCTTTTCATTGATAAATATAGTGTATCTCTAGAGAAACTGCTGTTATTCTATCCATTGATGTTTTTATTCCCTTAACTAAGATGAATTGTATGTTCATGTCACTCCGGTAGCTGGCTGCTTGCATAAGGCTAGATAAAACTGGTCTCAGAGCATGTGGAAGCTAACAGCACAAACCCAGACCTGGGTGTGGCCAGCCCCACACTGACAGTTAACCCTCAGCTCTCACCCTCTTTTGTTTGTGGGAAAACACACATTATTATTGCTGGCATGCAATCCGTAAAAGTATGTGGAACATGCTGGTCCACAAGAAAACACTCAATAGTTAGTAATATAAATGTTTCCAGAGCATTTGCTCCCGGCTCCTCTCAATCCGAGACCATGGGGTCTGCACTTACTTTTCACTCCACTAGAGGGCAATCAGTTTCCCTAAGTATGATTTAAACCTGGCTCCAAGCACTAAGGGTTGGATAAAATCTTTTCTTTCATTAGAATCATTCAATTGTTGATTTAATAAAGTAATGCCATGCTTTACCCTAGTGAGTGAGAAGGGCACACACATCTCTACAGTGAGATGAGTGATTGTAATCTACAAGTTGGCAGAGCCCTGGATAATTAATCCCTTATGATCTTTCTTTCCAGTTTCATTACAACGTAATTATTATATCATTTATGTTACTTCTGGGGTTGTATAGTGAACAAATGGTAGAAAATGTCAGTAGTAATAGCAAAATTATTTAGGAACAGATGTTTTAATTTGTAAGTAAAGGCATACATTAAAATCATGTTTACTCATTCATTTACTTAAATATGCCCCATGCTGGGGACAGCTCTAATGTCAGAGGCGTCACCTCAGAGGAAGCTGCAAAAGGAGTAAGTAAAGCAAGCAGAAGAATGTGATCCGGAGGAGACATAGCCTAACTGACCACAACTACTTTGCCATGTTCTTAAAGGTTTTAAACCAGTCCAACAGGATTGCCATCTAATTTTTGTGCATTTTTGACTGTGTGTGTGTGTGTGTGTGTGTGTGTGTGTGTGTGTGTGTGTGTGTTTGGTTGGTTGATGATTCTTGAAAGATGATGGAAAAATTAGTCTTAAACCCTTGGAATCATTTTATTAATGTAGTAAGTAATTGATATCCATTTTCAGGAAGAAGAAACAGACAAGTATAAATTAATTCTAATGATTACCAAAATAAACTGTTTCAATGTTCA